TCCAGTTAAATCACCTTTTGTCACAAATGTTCAGAAATTGATTTTTATGCCCAGAATAACTTTTTCTCAGACTCATTTATGCATGACATGCAACTAGGTGTAGACTTCATCAAGTCTGGGAACCAAAGTTAATAAATTAGACTAATATTTTTGGCATTGTGCATTAATATTAAATCAAATATTAGGAATCTGCATACTTTTGGTGATGCAAATGTTACAAATACAAACAAGCTTGACATGAGAAATGAAAAGAGTCTATTTTTGTGGGCTTAAAATCATGGTTGTGTGGCATATTCTGTTTAGAATTTCCAAAAAGCGAAAAAATTAAAAAAAAAAAAGAAAAGAAACTAAGGAGCAGTTACTTTGAAGCTGTGAATGGTTGTAGTGAACCTAATAATCCATCACTTGTGCCACTTGATGACTATGAAATAATCAACATAAGAGCCGAGGCAATTGAAACTGATCCAGTTGAAGAGAAAAAGGGAGAAGATTAAGAAAGTTCTAATGATTGTGAAACAACAGAAACCACCTTTCCAGTCTGGTCACTACTTCAGTATAGATCCAAAATGTCAGTCATGTTTAAGGTCAAGGTTACCAAGAAATAAATACCAGTCAATATAAAGATCTCCAGCATGGGGGGGGGACTGTTGATCAGGATACCAGATCTAAACCTACTGAACACAAGTGTATTTTGTAAAGCAGTGTCGATTGATATCAGAGTAGAAATGCAAATAATAAACATCTTGTTGGGTGTAGCATTGACAATAATGTGAAATCCACCAGAATCTCTTGGGTTATTCATAAGTGAACATATCCTAGGCATATCAAGCATCCAAAACTTTTATTAATTCAAGTCATTGTTAAAAAATACTCTGAGAGAAATAAATCCATATGTACTCATTTCTTTACAATCTTTTAAAGAAATTGTGACGATTGTTGAGGATTTTTCACAATTCAATCCAACAAGGGACAATATAAGACACTTTTTGTTGCAAAGTGATATTCACAAATATTATCATGAGATATTTTCATGTACAGCATTTTCTCTTTCCCAGAATTTCAGTTTAATTTATTTATACACCAAATCGATGTTAAAAGTTGATTTGTATACTCCGGTTGCTTGTGAATTGTATATATGTAACAGCTAGAAGAGTTTGCAATTAAAACTAAAAAACTATGTGGAAAAGAAAGTCAAAACAGTGTGATTCAATGCAAACAGAACCAAGAATATTGTACACTTATTTAATTAATCAAGACTTTATCACTTGTTGATACTTGTATCTAAACTAAACATGTTACGTATAAACTGATAATTGTTGATAGTTGCAATGACGATCCTATTATTATAACAAATTGACATTAACTAATGTGAAGAGATACTGAAATCAAAATGAAGAAACTCGGAGAAATTGCTTTGGGGGGGGGGTGTATATATATATATATATATATATATATATATATATAGTGTGATGGATAAATTGTCTAAATTATGCAAAAATAAGAATAACGTTGACATCTCATTTTAACAGATATATTTATCAAAATACACAAAAATAAGTCAAAATACTAAAGAGTGAATTTATTCAATATAATCACCATTGGCTTCAACCGCAGTCTCCAGACAACTTCAGAATCTCCTGCAACTTTTCTGGACGATCTCCTTGCTTATGTTGGTGAATGCTGCCATAATCCTTGCCTTCGGTTCATTTTGGTGTTGGTCTCTTGCTCAACTGTGCCCCACACATAATAATCAAGAGGGCTGCAGTCTGGGGAGTTAGATGGTCAGATGTGAGAGGTGATGTGATTGTAGAAATTGTCTGACAGCCATGACTGGGTTCTCCTGCTTGTGTGGCATGGTGCAAAGTCCTGTTGCTCGACACAGTCTTCCAGCAGCCATCCTTTTAATCCAGAGCAGCACTACCTCCTCAAGGCACTTGATGTAAGTCTCCATGTCGAGTCTGAGGCCATGTGGGAAGATTAATGGAGGTATAATGTTGCTATCACTAGAGATCACTCCAAACACCTTTGTAATCACTATTAGACTCCTCCAACTCTTTCTGAATCCTTTGCACTGTCTTCAGATTGACATCCAAAAACTCTGAAATGTTCTGATTGGTTCTTCCAGTATGAATGCCAAGCTGTACAACATGGCATTTCATTTCAAAATTTATGGCAAAGTGAATTTTGTCATGGTGCTCTTTTTCTCACAGACAGTGTCCAACTGAACCTACTATAGTGTACATTTGACAAAATTAAAAACAATGTGCATAAACAAAATTAAATATATAAAATAGTGAAAATTTACCCATCACACCTTGTGTGTGATAATGATATCTAAATTTATATATATATCAAGAAGAATTTTGGAGGCAAGATGTATCGCAAAGGGGAGAAATTTTTCATGTATCTTTTGCCCCTTAGGACTTCATTGGACTATTGTTTACATTGATGCGCATGAATGAGATGTTGGGAATTTGGAATTTCGAGAAAAAAATTTTTTTTTTTTTTTATTTTTTTTTTTGTTATAATCTAGCCAGTTTCATTCAGATTTGCTTTTGTTTTTTTGTTTTTGTTTTTTATTTCAAAATTCCCAACTTTCTTGGTTGTGCACATGTGTAATTGCATCAACATAAAAAACCTAGTCTGATGAACTCCTAAGGGACGAAATACATCAAGTTTGTTACATCTTCTTATGTGGAAATATTTTTGGGAAAAGTATGAATCCATCCCTTCTCTCTCCCCCCAGCTATAGAGAAATAGCGGGATAGACCAGGTCCTATAGCCAACCAGTCTAGAAGGACAACTTTGAATTGAAAACCTCTATGGGTTAAATAGCCTCACCAACCCACAATTGGCTAGTGTGGTGAGTAAGGCCTACACTCCTGAAGGCATGGTTACTCAGGGAAGGGTTCCTACAACAGGAGTGAGAAGGGCTTGGATTTGTATAAGGATCCAAAATCAGTTACCCTTAACCCAGGTGTGAAATATGAAGGTGAAGTTATTTGAACAAATGGGTCCAGAAAAATTTATAAGCAAATTTGTTATGGAAACTTGTAAAGGCAGATCTAGTCTTCATAAAATGGATTTCAACAAGATAAGTAAGGACTGAATTGTATGAAGACAAGTTGTCTAGAGAAATAGTATGAATTTTGATCTACATTATGATGACCACTCAACCGGATCTGTGTTCTAGTGTAATGACGTCTACTGTTGCCCATTTAATGATAAGGCAAGACATTTGTGTTTTATGTTATTTGAATTTTACAAAGTAGGATCAAAATTTAATTTTCAGAAAGTCCGTTAAATCCCTGAGTTTAATTGGTTTCTGTGACACACACTGGAGTAATTCTAAAATCTATCACCAAATAGTTCATTGGCATCTTGAAAAAGTGGTAAATGAAAACTGTAGCACTATCCATTTGCAAGGCAGAATGCATAAGTTTAGCAGCTGCAATGCAAGAGTTGAAGTGCTTAATTACTGAAAAGCATAACAAATTTTTATTCTTTTTTTATTTATTTTTTTAACTGTACCATTCTACATGGTAATGGGTGGAGGGCTTTAAGCCTTGCAAAAAATCCTGGACAGCATTGAATATCAATACAAATTGATATAAAATACTATTTCGTTATGTCAGCAGTACAGTTTGTACATATTTGTAAAAAGGATATGCTAGGAATTTGTCAGTTCTGGGCAAATGACTAAAAATCGGAATTGTATTTTTAATACTACCTTAATCTGGCTGTGAATTTTTTAGAAATCCCTTTGTCTTATATTTATTCCAGTTCAGCAAAACTGTTGCAGATTCATTAAGCCTATGATTTGAATTAAGCAAAAAACATTTCTTTCTGCCCTTTTTGGAATTAGCCTTCAAACATGAATTTTGTATGCCTTTGATTTAAATTATTGCTAGTATTGGAAGACCGATATTAATTTAATTGGGTATATTGGAATATAAAGATGTGTGATCATACATAAGCATACATTTCTTGGTGCAACTCACACATGAAACTAAGTACAAGATGCTGCCTTTCTTATTACAACAAACAATACTGGATACCAGTGCTGATAATGCTGGTGGTTGGTTTGTTTATTTTAACAAAATATCCAAGTTCCAACTATAATATACTTCTGATGTTTTAACATAATTTTATTTTGCTCAGGTCTCTTAAGTATTTTCTTAATGTTCACTTGTTAAAAAAAAAGTTCTATGCTATTTCACTTTGCTATACTCTAAAAAGTTTAAAACAGAGATTTACTTGGTATATTAATAAATAAATGCTCTTTAATAAACTCTAGTCCTATTTGCTATTTCATTGCAAGTGCATGGAGATACTCCAGTTCATTTTTATTTTCAACAATTAAACTTTCGAATCACTGTCTACTGATGTGCTTCTTCACTCCTGAACTGACAATCTTTATATTAAGCTTTTAAAAAAATGTAAAAAGATTAACATTTTCGTAATTATTAGCCTTTTTGTTTATTGAGGCTTTTGTCAATATTTTCTTTTCAAATAGTAAAACCAATGGACAGAAAACTTTTGTAATGATGTAAAAATCAACAATTGTCAATTCTGTTTAGTTGTGAGACAATTTGCTTGTATTTCCCTTGAACAGGTATTATCTGTTTTTATGTTTTGGTTTGAAATATTAAATGGTACGCACCAATGATTATAGTTGATTTATATAGGATTTGACAGATTTTCATGGTAGATACTAGAAAAATCTGTTGTAGGTATTTTATCTGAATATTGCTTTACTACAAAATGTTTGAATATCTTGATAGATTTTCTTAAATAGTTTTTGACTAACATCCCACTGCAGTCATAAAACACAAATTCTGGTTTTCATTGTTCAGAATGTGAAAGAAAAACTTTAATTTTATTTTTTTTCAAATATTTTATCTGAAATGGTGAATGTTCAGTGAAGTTAAAAGTTGATCCAAAAGGTTTATTCACTTGATTGAATGTTAATCTCTCTTCCTTTTTTCTTTTTTTTGCAGTTGATGAAAAAACAAAATTAAATCACCAGCAGATTGTAGCAGAATTCAAGGTAAATGCAATGATTTTTATTACTTTTTTTTTTTTTTTTTTTTAATTAATTTTTTTACATTTCTTTTTATTAAAATTTTGCAAAGATCTTTAAAATAAGGCAGTTTTAAAAAGCATAAAAAAACTATTGCTGCAAAACTGCTTTGAGCAAACATGAGCCATGGGGGCTTCAGTTGAGACATATGTAGATGACAGTTTACACCATTATCTTTTATAAAATATCTTTGGAATTCTTTCAAGGAAGTTATCAGTATTTCCAAGACCCTCTCCTTATATTTCCCCATGTCCATTTCCTGGCACTAAGTTTTATTTGCTTGTAAACATTATTAGCATTCTCGTCAACCATTTTAAGCATCTCTCTTATTTTAATTAAGAGATGACATTTCATATTCTTTATTTTTCTTCATATTGAAACTATGTAGTTACATTAAAAAAAAAAAAAGAAAAAAAAAAGGAAGTGAGATATTTTGTATTTATTAAAATCTCATGCATAGCAAGGTCCCATGGGACGCATCACACACACACACACACACACACACACACACATATATATCATGTGACTTTTGAAGATCTAATTTACAAGCTAATTTTAAAGGGGTCACATCATACACAAGATATAAAATTAGCTTATGTACTGGCTATGGTGTTGACTAAGACTATATATCCATTTACTGTAGTCAAAAAGTACAGATGTATTTAAAATAAACATGATTTTGATAAGACTGTTTTGCTTAACTGTATCCAATAATAATGCATTTAATATTCACATATTTGTATTGTATTATAAAATACAAACATAGCAAATATGCATCTTTTTCCATTGCTTATGTTTATAAGATGTTTTGCATGAAAATAAACTTCTTGACCACTTCCCATAAGTACTCAATTAGTTTATGTTGAGTGATCAATAGAAATTTTCAAAATGCTTCACAAGTTAATTCTGTGCAATTTGAACCCAACAATTTGGTACATTATCCATCATTGTTGGGTTACATGTAGTGCAAACGGTGATAAAGCAATGCAACATCATGGTCACTAGTCAGTGAATAAACCCCCACTCAACAACCATATAATTCTCTCTCTCTCTCACTTCTTGGCATTTTGGTGTATATTACACTGGAGTTGGCTATTGAAGCATCTTTTTCATTGTTTGCCATTACTAAATGACACTTACTTAGATGAACAGTACTACTAACACTATGGGTTCATTTAACAATCTCTTCTTAAAAATTTAATTTTAGTATTTCCATTTTGATTTGATATTTAAATTGAAGATTCCATTATAAATCGGTTTAAGATTGTATGTACAAGACACACCAAGGTTTCAAATAGATATGTTGCCTATGATTTTTCTGACCATGTTTAGTCCAGTGAACAGAAAATGTTGGCATCATCCATAAACTGTTACAGTACATCTTTTTGATAGATATTTTAATGGCAACATTCTATGACATACCAGAAGCAGCCTTCAGTCTTTTTAAAGTGAAATCTATGTACAATGACATTGAAAGTGGAAATTAAACTAGAATTTCTCTAAAGTTCTTAGCAATTCTGAATTTAAAAACAAACATTTTTTTTTAATAGAATGTGATTATGCTGAAAATATTTTTGTTCTGTTTTTCAGGCCCAAAAAATGCTTGAAAAAATTTCCAGTGTTAGTAAATTGGAAGCTGAAGGAGAACTAAAACTAATGCAGCTTTCAACCTTACGCCTGGATGCTTCAAATCTTGAAGCAGTCAAACAACTGAAAGGTAAATCAACCAGAAAAAAAATGTTTAATTTTTTCTATTTTGTATCTTTTATTATTTTTCTAAATATCAATTTTGTTTTCAATTTATTTATTTATTTTTATTTTTTTTTAATTGTTCTTATCAATCAAAAAATATTAATGATGCCTCGAATTAGAATAATTTTAAAACTTCATTTTCTGTTATATGAAGTTGGCCAAAAAGGTTGTTTGCTTATTAAGTAGAAAATTTACTTAATAAGCCAAACAAAATTTTTTGGCCAATGTCTTCCTTTTCTAGAAAATCAGTTCTTTTCTACACAATAGTAGGAACGAAATATTTTTTTTTTTTTGCAAATATTTGGTTAGTATTTATGTGTGTCATTTTCAAAATTATGCTAAGAATTGTAGTCCTTTTTATTTTGTTAGAAAATAGATTGTAACAAGTTTTAAATATTGATTGATGATATAGATTTTTCTTAGAATTTTATCAGTCTTTGTCTTCTTCCAATTATTATTACAGGATGATGAATAAAATGTAGTACTGTTTTAAAAAGACATCTAAAAAAGTAAAAAAAAATGTTAGTTACTTTTCTATAAAGAATTAAAATATTAAGATATAATATTGTCCCTTGATATCTGATTTCACATTTTAATTCATAGTTCAATGCTAGTCAGTTCTGTCCACCAATAAAAACAGGCTGGCTTTAAGGCATCTTACAAAATAATCAACAATAATGTTATAAAAATACATTTTGTTTTTATTATTTTACAGTAGCTTAAAAAAATAATTCCTGGTTTGGTAATAGAATGAATTCTCTATTCTTAAAACACTGATATTGAGATGTGGTTATTTTGGTAGAGTATTTGGGAGCATGTTAAAGGGAAACAATTCATAAGTTGTATGAAAGTCTGTGTAGATAAAATTCATAAATGCCTGCTAATGAAACGCCTTTCAACTTAAGGAAACTCTGTTATGAAAGTGCAAATGTTATGTAATTGATTTTATAATAATGTCTGCAAAGATCTATTTTTTTTTTATTTTTTTTTTTTTTATTAAACAAGTTTTTCAAAAAATAGTTTCAACAGAAAATAAATTATTAATGAAAATACTGTTACAAAACCAGGTAACTCAAGGTGATAAATATAAAGTATAAGGTATCAATCACCATGATCAAACTCTATCTTCAGTTTTTATTTTTTCCTCTTAGAAATTTTTTTCCCCCTCCAAGTTTTCATTTTTGAAAACTTAGAGTAGCATAGAACTTACGCTTACATCTCTCCTGCGCAACTGTAAAATGATGCGACCTTGCTGCCAACCTAGTACTGCACTTAAATGTGTAAGATATATAGCAAGGTGCAAAAGATCCTTGATTATATTATTCTCAATTTAATTTGGAATAATATAATTCACTTTTCAAATATCGAAACAGATGTTTTTAATATAGAAAAGATATAATTCAATCATAGACTTTATCTAAATAGTGAAAATCTCTTTCAGAAACTTCTTCAATCCAGTAACATTATAAACACAACATTAAATAATTGGCAAAGATAAAATTATTTGTCATCCAGAAAATTATTTTCATTATTTATGAAATTCATGAATTATGTAATATTTGTGTTCTGTTATGATGGGGTAATCTTTTAAGCTTTACTTGTGAGTTGTAAATTTTTAAAAGAATTTAATTTTACTGCAATGAACATGGCCAAGGTGAAAGTTGCGTGTGGATTTAAAACAAATTGTGAACAGCAGTTTTCTGTACCCAAGTCAACTGCCAAGTATATCTGGGAAAGATACTGTAAGCAAAAATCATTGTGATTCTTCCTGGCTAAGAGGCTATAAGCCTAAGATTATAAAGAAAGATTGTTCAAGAAGAACCCTAAAGTTGTGTCAATATGTCAAACAATAGAGTAGATATGTGATGTTGTGCAGTAAGCAGGATGTGCAGTAAACAGATTGTTTGTAGTTACCGACCAAGGGAAACACCTTTGCTCCAAAGTCATCATTGCAAGCCTTGAATAAAATTTTCATTTTTTTTTTTTTTTTTTTTTTTTTTTTACCTGGAAAAAGAGATTTTGGGAACTCAGTTTTAAGTAATGATGAGACTGAAACAAAATAGTTCAGTTAGAATCAGGGACAGTGAGTTTAGAGTAAAAGACAAGCCATGATCTCAAGAACATAATCCCTAGTGTAAAACATGGGAGGGGGTCATCATCTTATGTTTTGGGCAGTTTGGGTAGTGGTAATGGAATTTCTTTAAAAATTATAACAAAATAGCTACAATGGACTTTAATACAAAATAAGATGGATGCTAATTTTGAAAATAATTTTTTTTTTTTTTTTTTTTTTTTCTTTTAGCTCTTTGTATTTTTTAGCTCTTTGTTATTTTTTAGCATTCAATGGAGAATAATCTTGATAAAGGATTAGTATTCATGCAAACAAAATTTTGACATCTTTTTAATAATGACAGAAAAAGTCTACAGTTTAGCTGCTGTTGAGTAGAACAGTGTCTACAATTGACACTTGTTCACAAACTTGTATTCTATGTAAATTTGCTTACCAAGCTTTTTGCTTAAGATCAAAGGACTTTGGCTTCAGGCCTTTTTAATGACCATATACAGAACAACTTTTAACATTACTGTCACAATCTGAATATGTTAATAAGGAAAAAAAACAATTATTTGCTTTGTTTAATTATATGAAAGTATTTCTCTTTAGAATGGACTGATGGATGTCTTATAGAAAGTAGTATGCTTAATATTTGTTTCACTATGAGATGTGTTTATATTGAGTGAATGTAACCCATTTCTTTTATATTTTCTAGACATTTTGAAAATAAGATTGTGCCAGGGTGTAGACTATATATGTAAAGTAGTAAAATTAGACACACTAAGCCAGAGAGAGGATTATGGTTTATGTAATAATGAATTTGACTGGGTGAAATTATTTAACATTTTTTAACATATGTTGACTTGTCGATAGTTTTCTTTGCTATTTTTTGCATTTATACAATCTGTTATCTAAAAACCAATTTACTAATCTCTTCTTCAAGTCTTTAGTACTATTTTGAAGATGTAGCTATCAAAACAATACATTTCTATTACACAGCTAGTACACTCTCATCAAGTGCATTAAAATTATATTACTTAAAATTGATTCTAAATTTAATCCTGTATTTACAGATCGTGACATCTATCAGAGAGATGAAATTTAAATTTGTATTATTGCATTATTCCAAAATTTTAACACATCAGCAGATTAGCTATTAATGTCAACAACTGAGCATAAATAGTTATTAATTAAAAAAATTAGTAATTAATGCATATTATTATCCATAAATACATGTACAAGAATGTTGTTTTTGATAAAAGTTAAAAAAAATAACCATAAATATGTAAAGAATGCTTATATTGTTGAAAATTCCCTTTTCCACAATATAGCTATTTGTGCTTATTACCTAAACAATAATAATACTGAAATCTTTTTTAAACATTAAGGTATATTTAATCACATCTCCCTAATAGCTGTTGCAATCTGTTAAATAACAAAAAAAGACAATGTAAACATTTTTTTACACATTTTGAATATGTAATAAGTTATAGATTTTAACAGGAACTAGAAAAATTTTAGTGAGCAAATACTTTAGATGCTGATTAAAATTAAAATTTAAGTTAGTTTAGCATCATTTAGAAACAAAGTTCAGTTTACCTGTTTGACTGGCAAATACCACGTATGCTGAAAAGTTGTTGCTCTTTGTAAGAAAGGTAAATCCCATATTGAAAATGGTCTCTATCAAATGAATATACTGGTGTAGTGTGCAACAAACTTATAAACACGATTCTGATGGACAAATGCAAATCTGGTTATAAGCACAAATTATCTACCTGAGACAAAAGTCATCATTAAATTGGAAGAGATGGATACCTGAGAAAAACATCCAGTTAAATTTGAAATGATTTGAGTTTAACAAATATTGTGAGTATAGATACCATCAAGCATTGTCTGTGACAATAAAATAATTTATTTGGTTGAATTTTCAGCTAGAAAAATCAAGTTGATGGCAAAAAATAAATGAAATAGTGAAAGATGGGGTGTGCTCCCAAAACAATGGCTAGTCTCAAACTGAAAAAGTTTATTTTCTCCGATGAATTTAATATTTTGCTTTTTCCAAGTAAAAGGTAATTTGTTAGAAAATTCCTAATTTATTCAAAAATATATTGTGAAAATGGTAAATTCCTCAGTGGCAATTGGAGTATGGGAAGCAATTTAATGAGACAGAAAAAGCGTCAACATTTTATATATTTCTGAAAAGGAATATCAGTGTTTACTCAATGAACATTTAGCCTAAACAGATGAAAATTCATGCATTTTACAAAAGAATTGTATGAGTCAAAAATAAATTATTTAAAAGAAAATCATATCATACATTTGATCAAGCCACTCTCCTGACTTGAATAATATGGAAAATGAAAAATAAATCGCCATGGAATATTGATCAACTTTGGAAGATCACCAAGAGTGAGTCAACAAATATTAATCATTCTTTTACTTTGAATTTATATTCATCTCTACTGGGAAGAATTTGACCATTTTAAGTAATGAGGTAGTTACATGAATTAGTAAGAAAAGTTTATCAATCTAACATGTTTCACTTGTATTAAGCTTCATCAGAGAATGGAGAAAAAGAAGAAAGAAATTCTGGTATTTTTACTTTTGTGTTTCATTTTCATTGGTTAATCAATCGTGTTTTATGAGCATTTGACTTTTTAAACCAACATTAGTATAAAATCAAACAACATAAAGCTAAAAATACCAGAATTTTTTTCTTTTTCTCTGTATCTTATTCTCTGATGAAGCTTTAATAAAAGTGAAACCTGTTAGATTGATAAATGTGTCCTATTTGTTCTTTATCATGAATTAGTAATTTTATAATTATAATGTGGATTTGGGGGGGGGATTTAATTTGATATTTTGATTTTTTATTATAAACTGCCAAAAGTATTTGTTCAATAAAAATATTT